CGGCTGCGGTGTGTCAGTTTGGGGCATGTGGCAGGGCGATGACTGTCATGCGGCGGATTTGCGTTGTTAGGGAATGAAAATATCAAGTTGGTTGGACCGGTGGGGCTGGAGGGGGAGTCCCAAACTTTGCCCGAGTCCACTTCCTATTCCTATTTCTGGCTGGGGCATTCGTGATTGTGTGACATTCTGGCCAGGACACGTGTGTGTCAACCTCGGGAGGTGTGCGATGTGTGGGAGCGGTGCTTGGGCAGTGGCCGCAGCCTGGCCCCTGTGGCAGCTGGTGAACCAGCAACTTGCTGCTGGCCCAGATGTTGCAAGTGAGCACAAACTCGTTTATGGCGTGCCAAATTCACCAACGCTGGATGCCTGCCACGGATTTGACCAGTTTTGAGCTGGGCCATTATAGTCCAAGCGCCGATGGTGATGTAGATAGTGCTGGGAACCCTCCCACGCCGATCATCTTGGAATGGGCGCTGTGGGAGCGGCACCCCACCCCAGAGCGGCATCCCAGGCCTGCTTGATTGCCATCGATTCTTATTCGTATTGGTATTCGTATTGGTATTCGGATTCGGCCAGCCCGTTTCCAATCAATCATTTTCCATTTGCACAGCGATCTCGGAAATTTGCAATTTAATTTTCTGCTGGCAACGCCCGCAGCTCTGCAGAGCTCTGGCCGTGGCTATGGGATAACCCTACCAGCATTCTGCCAATTAGCTCGGTCGGCAATGTGACAAATGCCAGCTACAAACAGATACAGATACAAAGTCCCGCCCTCGGTGGCCCCGCGGTAGCCCCCTTGGCCCCGTTCATTCGCCAGCTACACCCTAATGATATGGTGGCAAGCTGTTGGCCCCTCGCGTCTTGGCCATAATTTTCGTAATTTCACGTTAGGGTGGCCCCTGTTGATTGAATTCAATTGTTGGCCACTCAACGCGATCAGAGAGAGAGAGAGAGAGAGGCAGGAGTTCTGCTGCAGCCAAATCCCAATCGAACAAAGCATAAACTGCCCCGCGATCGTGTACCTATAACTGCTTGATTATGGTTAGTGATTCAATCAGATTCGATCCGATCCGATGCAATCCAATCCGAGTTGGTTTACTTGCTGCTGCTTGCTTTACATTTTATCTGTGGCAATAATTGAAGGCAATTAAATTCATAAATTTTAATGATTTATTTTAGCTCTGCGCGCTTAGCAGATTGAATTAATTCTTGGATAACGCCGTACGGGGTGTTCTACCAGATTGGTAGGAACTCCTACATCACCTCTGAATCAACTGTATGAACCAAACCAAACCAATTTCCTCACCCATTATCCATGAAATACTTGCATCCCGCACCATAAACTCATTTGTCTAATGGCCAGCAGCTACTGGCCAAGCAATTAACATTTTTAATTCACCACAAATATTCGAAGAAGCAGTTTGTGCAAGAACAAAAAGCCTCGCTAAAAAAGGAGAATAATAATACAATTGCAATTGCCTTCCACGAGTATTAGCCATTGGAAGTGCGGAACAGGGGAATGGAAGTTGCACCCTCAAGACTCTAGAGTGCTGATTGCATCCGCTTGGCCGAAAGTCAGTCAACGCTTCACTGCACCGCTGGGCAAAGCAGGGCACACCGCCCGAATGGTCAGCAGTCGTCGCTGGGCCAATTGTCTGAAGAATTTCAATGCCATCGTAGTACAATGGGATGAAGTGCCGAAACGACAGATACAATTTTTAATGCAATTTTTAGGCATACAAAATGATCAAAGATAAGAAAACAAGAGCCAAAATAGATATATAAAATAAAGAAAAGAAAAAACTGTGACATATCCATTAATACTCAATATACGAATCTCTCTATACTCTTATTTCCATGCCACTAGCACAGTGTTGGCTTATCTAGCTAGCCAATAAAATAAGAATGCAACTGAATAGTGACAAGTGCTTGTCTGGCCAGTGGCCCCCACTGTGCGCGGGTTCGGTGATGCGTGGCCAGGTTAGAAGGCAGCCACGATGGTGTTGCCATGCTAATTCCGATTGCAACTGTGATTGGCCAAGCAGCGAGTGCTTGGCTGCTTGCGTCATGTGGTGCAGGATTTTATTGTCTTGCTGCAGAATTTTAATACAAATTACATTTAATTGCAGTCGCTAAGAGCAGACCACGCTTCATTTGCCTAATGGCCAAGGGGGTCGCCAAGTGGCACCCACCCTCAGCCCGCCACCTGCATCCACCACCACCCTGCCGACAGTCATCTTAATTATGTTGTTTAACAGCGAACGCAATTAATTGAACATGATTTACCTGTGTATCAATGGGCAAGCGGAAGGAAAAGAAACAACAAATTCCGCACTTGACACCTGCCCACACGTAGTCGAGGCGAATGCAATTCTTGGCAGATGCAAATGGGCCCCACCAGTCCGAGATTGCAAATAACTGTAATTAAGCAAATACTGAAACCGACCAGGCATTTATTGAATACATACTCGTATATTTATTCGGTTCGGCATCTCAATTTGCATATGCTGAGACTGCTCGCATGGAAAACCGATCAAAATCAACAAGTAACTCCCAGCATGCCAAACCAACAAAGGCCAACCAATTCTGGCCAGCCCACGCCCACTCCAGGGACAATGGCTTCACAATTGTTAGACAGTTCCCTTACGATTCGGGGATACACACATACGAGTACTCGCACATGCAACCAGCAGTCCGGGAAGGCTGTGAGGCACAGGAACGAAGAGGGAAATATTTCTGCACACTTTTATTATTTATTTCAGCTGAAAGACAGTTTGGCACTAGAACGTGCTAAATAAGCAATGAGTAATGGTAAAGTGGTGAGCACTTTCAAGCAATTTGGTTGCCTTCTCCGATTGTTGTTTGAGTCAACATTGCGTATGCGTAATATGAATATAAAGAACCAAAAAAGCAATGAATAAACACAAACAGTCAGAAGTCAGAGACGTCGGATTTGCATTTTCTACGAATATGGAATTAAAAACAATAGCATTAAAGAATAAAAAGAGATTCAGAGGAATTAAAATTCCTTCACACCAACTAATCCTAATCGCTTGGACGAAACGAACAGTTCAATTTGAAATGCATTCAGATAAATTGATTCTGATTGCATAATGCATGTTATTATAATGTAATTAGTTAATTTTCGCATAGATTCGGATCAGTGTGCATAAGACTCGCACCGAAGAGTGTAGCGCAGACATGGAAAACCGTAATTACGGCTCGCAAATGGAGCTGGAAAGGTGGGGGCATACTGCACATACATATGTATATCGGGCACGGCACCACAAATGTGTGGATTGCACTTGAGTCGGTAAGCGTAAGCCAGCCCACTGCTGTCGACGGCTGGTGAGATCTATGGGAAAAACTAATAAAACGAAACACAAAACTGGCACCGACCGGGAATATAATTTATAATGTTGCGCATGCCGTAAAAATGTCAAACACGCCCCAAAATGATCGCCCGCCTCTACACACATCATCGTACACACATCCATGTACATGTACATATGTATGTACATATTCGAGTACTTTCGTATGTTTGCGCAGAGACCCCAGCCGAGGAGGAGAGTTCAAAAGAGCAGTTTGCATTTGGTTTATTCAAATTAAATTGGCGGCAGGCGAAGCAAAACAAATTAAGTTGCCGATATGAATACGAGTGCTGTGTGGTGGAGTGTGCCACAGTGCCACAGTGCCACAGTGCCACATGCAACACACACTCACACACACCCACACGCTGATGGCGGCGCTTATCGAATGCAAATAATCGAACTCAGTTGGAGTGCGCACTCATTACGGTCTCTGTGTCTCTGTCTCTGTCTGTGTCTGTGTCTGTGGGGCAAGCAAAGCCATAAATGATTGTCTGTGTGAGTGCAACATCAAGATTGGAGAACTGCAAAGAAATGCTGCAACATGTGGCAACAGCAAAACAGCAAACAGCAAACAGCAACAGCAACAGCGTCTGCAGCAGCACTGGCCAATACCATTTTCCCCGTCTTTTGTTTTCCGCTGGCTTCTCTGGGCCGTGCTCTTGTTTTATTTTTAATTTGCAAACTTTTCGTTTCGTTTTCCGATGCAGTTCAATGATTAAAGAGGCAAACGCCCAGAAATTGTCTGGCCATTTTTGGATATTTTTCGATATTTTCTGCTCACTTTTTGCAGCTCACATTTCGTTATGGCCCCCGTTGGCATGTTGTAAGCTGGTCATAAGAATTTTTTAATTTGATCGCCCAGGCAGGTCTTGGGCGGGGCGCGACTATCTGCTCTGCTCTGCTGGGCAGTTTTTTTTTTTTTTGGAAAGGAAAGGCAATCCCCGATAAGATCGAGCTCTGCCAGACGTCACCCTGGCTAAGCCCGTGCCCAAATAATGATTGCTAATTGCTCCGTGCGCGGAAGTTCCAGCCGAAAACTGGCCACAGCTCACTTACAAATGAAATGTCTAAGCCAGGGCGAAGCCGGCAATTAAAATTGGTAACTGAACGCACATGCACACGCACACCCATGAAAATTGGAGCCAATTTGGTCGAAAGCAAGGTCACGGCAGGCATTCTGCAGTGACAAACGCAACCGAGGAAACGCAGCCAACGATCGAACGATCGATCGATCGATCGATCGATCGGATCGAAGTTCTCTCTCTCTCACTCTCAAAATGTTGCCCATGCACAATGGTGGCAACATGTTGCCACCACGACTGATACACATTCTGCAGCTACGGCTTCGGCTTTGGACCAGACTTCGGGCTTTGGCTAAAACCCGCTTCGAGCCTCGATTAACGTTGTAATTCGATTACTCTTTTGCCACATTGTTCTGCTCGGCTCTCATTGTCTCACTTTGGTTGTTGTTGCTTTTGTTACAGTTGCGCCGCTGCGCATTCGCATTCGCTGGCGACTCAGCCCCCCGGTCCCCGGTCCCTGGTCTCTGTCCCTGTGCCTGCCTCTCTGTCTCGGCCACAGTCTTCGATTCGGCTGCAGTCTCTGGCGGTATATATTAGAGCCGCCAGCCAGCAGTCAGCACAGTTCGTTAACAGTCCTAGTCGTGGTTCTAGGAGGTTCAACCAGCGTCCATCGACCCAGTGCTTTGTGTCGTGTCGTGTGTACCCGTAGCTACCCGTAGTTCTCCTTTATTACCCCAAGTGTATCCCGAAACTCCTTTTTCGAAGCTCAACTTTGTGATTAACTCTCTGTGAAACGAAAATGAAGCCATTTGTAAGTACGCCAAGCCATGAAAAGGATAAATTCGTGCCAAGGATGTGTAGTAAAGCGTAGCACCGAATGGTTCAGTGGGTGGTGAAACCGAGGGCTCTGTTTCTTCTTAAAGTACAACTTTTATTTTTGCCAAGGAAGCGGCAAAGTTAGGCACTCACTAGGAGATTACTTGGCAGGGTAGTAAACAATTTACAAACAATAGAAAGAAATCCATTCGGCATTTAGCGTTTCATTTCTGTTAATTCCCTTTCAGTCATTGCTCTGGGCTGTGAGTTCTACATTCAATCAAATGCCACCTCAGTGCCTTCCGGTGTTTATCCTTCAACCCATTCGAGAGTCAATTACCCCGACCATGTCAGGGCATGGCAATCCCGCCAGCCAATCAGCCATGTCAAGGCGCACAGCAAACCACACAGAAATCCATCAGATGCCATCAAATGCTGCACAATCCTGCTGATAAGCCGTTGACATGTTGCATGTCGGACAGTTTAGCCGTCGCCCCACCCTCCGCTGTCACTATCCAAGCCATCCAAGCCGAAGCAAATCGAGCCGCTCACCTGCGCTGACACATAATACATAATCGACCTGCATGCCGCCTGCCGAATGCCGAATGCCGCATGAGGTAACATCTACGAATTGGCTGAAACAGTATCTCGGAATCAAATCAAATGGTTGCGCTTGAGAGCCCCCGAAAGCGAGGCGAGAGATGGGCGTGTGTGGGGCTGGGATGGGCCAGAGGTGGTGGCAGCGAAAGAAAGCGAGAGTGGAAAGGCAAACTATGCAATTATGTAGGTTACCAGAGCAACAGCCAGCTGGCAAAGAAAGCTCTCTGTGTGAGTGACACTCTTGAGCAGGGGAAGGGGGCCAGGGAGATCGAGAGTAATTATTGGCGCGCCAGGTGGCGATAGTTACGTCTTAGCCTGGGACCAATCATGAGTCATGACATAACATAACATCTCTCACTTGTTGCATCCATCCCGACAGCTGATTGCCGCCGCTCTGCTGGTCTCGACAGTGTCCGCCTCGTGGCACGGAGCCGTCTCCACACAGTACCAGCACCTGGACCCCCATAGCCACACCTACTCCTACGGCTATGCTGATCCCAACTCACAGAAGCACGAGACGCGCGCCCACGATGGCACCACCCGCGGCTCTTACTCCTACGTGGATGGACACGGTCACGTGCAGTCGGTCTCCTACACTGCCGATCCCCATCACGGATTCAATGCCGTAGGCACCAACCTGCCCCAGGCTCCACACGCCGCCCCCGTCTACGCTGCTGCCCACGCCCACTCCGCCTATGCGCCCTACGCCCATGGCATCCACATCCCTGTGCTGACGCACGGAGGCGTGCCAGTCGACACTCCCGAGGTGCAGCACGCCAAGGCTGCACATGCGGCCGCTCACGCTGCTGCTGCCCACAATGCTGGTGGCCATCACCTGTACAAGCGTTCGATCTACGGCGGAGGATGGTCCTACGGAGCACCTGCCCATGTCCCACTCACCCACGGCGGAGTGCCAGTCGATACTCCCGATGTGCAGGCCGCCAAGGCTGAGCACTATGCCGCCCACGCCAAGGCTCTGGGTCAAGTGGCGCATGCCCATGGCGCTCCAGTCGAGACTCCTGAGGTCCAGCACGCCAAGGCTGCTCACTTCGCCGCCCACGCTGCCGCCCGCTCCGGCCATGTCGGTGCTCCCATTGCCCACGGCAACTACCATGTGCCGGTGATCCACAACGGAGTGCCTGTCGACACACCCGAAGTGCAGCATGCCAAGGCCGCCCACTACGCCGCCCTCTCGCAGGCCTCTGCTCACGGCAGCAGCGGGCACAGCTCCTGGGATGACGGACGCTACGACGGTCGCTGGGAGTCCAGCTCCAACAGCCACAACGCCTACGACAGCGGCTACGCGCATAACGGTCCCATCCACATTCCAGTGATCCACAATGGTGTACCAGTCGAGCCCGCAGAGGTACAGCATGCCCGTGCCGCTCATCTGAACGCCGTGGCAGCTGCCAGTCATGGCGGCGCCGGTGCTCATGGCGGCTACTACGGTGGAGCTGCTGGTGGCCACGAGGATGATGGCCAGTACCGCGCGCACTACGATCACTACTAAACGGGAGACCGGAGTTTCCGGTGGATTCGTGCCAGCGACAATGACATGACGAGCATCTCTATACATTCTGCCTGACATCCTTCGTTTCACTCTAACCGACTACCGAAGCCAGCTGGCTTATATGTAACCCTGTCACCCTCTAGCAGCATTCCAATCTATCCTTGTATCCCTGTATCTCTTTATCTTTCACCTATCTACCTACACACACAGACACACGCAAAATACGGGAGATTGAAGCTACACCTGCCAGTGGCTTCCTTGCCCGTTAAGCAACGATCCAGCCTGATTCGAGTTCCAGTTGGAACATCTTTCTACAAGGCTTTCCTATCCACATCTCTGCTGTCCTACTTTTCTTCTCGTCTCTATCTTTGTACACTGTCTTCCATATTTTTCAATCCTTTCCACTTCGTTTGAGAAACGCTGTATGAGTATGTTGTAAATAACTGTTGTAATCTTTATATATCTGAACAGATATGAATCTATATATTATACGAAACTGCAAACAGACAAATAAACTGCAAAAATGTATTTGATCACAAATTTGAAACTATTGAGTGTGGGTGGGAAAAGCCTCTCCAGGAAAAGGAATTTCCTTCGTCAGTAAACTCAGTAAGATGATTGTAGAAGTGGAATCAGTTATGAAGCCTACGATGCCTTGTTTAGGTTGATATCATCAGGTAAAGTAATATTACACATTTTAGAAATCATTTTAAATGTTCCAATAAATCACTTTATAGATATTACTCGCAGAATATTGATTGTGGTTATGGTAACTGATATTAGAGATTTATTTTAGCTATACTCGCAGTGCATACTCGCAGTGGTAAATACTCGTATTTCCGTGTGCCTGGTTGTCTTCGCTTACAATTTGATTTCTTTGGCTGTTCTTCTTCTGATAAATTCCCTTTTTCCGTTCTGTGGGAGTTTCAAACTCCCACAGCACATCTCCATCTCCGACAGCTTTTCTCGCGTCCCACAATGACTGCATTGACTGCATCGACAGGGGGAGGAATCGTTTGAAAGGAACATAAATATTTGCAATGCAACGATTGAAGTTTGCATACACTCACACAGGCGGGCATGTGTACATATACGTACGTACGTATACATATATATATTTGTGTGAGGGGGAGGGAATGCCTGAAGCGTGGGCGGGGCTTTGCAGCTCTGGGGCAGCACTGGTGCTGCATGGGGCATGTGGCATGACACAGAGAGTGAACAAACAATCAATCAATGCGGTATGAGTCTTGTTTTTTTGCCGACTGCAATTTGTGTGTCTTATGCGGAGAATGTGTCACTCGACTTCGGGAGACTCGAACTACTCGAAGGGAACGGAGCTGCCGGGTGAGCTGAGGCTGGGCAACAAGTTTTGCTTTTTTTTTTTTATAATAGATTGCCCGTCATTTGTCAAGGCTGACGTCGATTCCCCTCCATTTGGGAAATGGCATCTGGGATATGGGAGGTCGAGTCGAAATTAAATGCCTGCCTTTGGGCCATAAATTCAAGTGCAACCTTTGGTCCAATCAATAACCTTGGAAGTGGGTAAGAAGGCTAGCTGGCTTGCCTGTCTTGCCGTGGAATGGCCTGGCCTGGCCTGGCCTGGCCTGGCTACCGGCAACTAATTAAACATTTACAACCCACGGCTCACACGCAAAGGTCACATTCACTGCCAACAGAAAGTGAAAATGTGGTCGGCGATTTTCAATTTTCCACGCATAAACCACCAGCAGCTCTGTCTGACGAGGCCGACAAGGAAAAGGAGGCGATGTACGGTTACTCTCATGCGAAGGCTTGGCCCCGGCCATCGTAAATTTGGGGCGGTCTGGAGGGCTACCTGGGGGGAATGGAATGGGATGGGATGCGATGGGGGATTGGTCGCTCAGTTCCTGCCATTTAATTAAGCATGCATTGGCATTTGAATTTACTGCCAATTGTCGGCTAAGCGAACTGAAACACTAAGTGGAATCAGTTTAAAATACTTTAAAATACGATATGAGTGTGCGAGTGCGCGTACACCTCGCGGATGACCTTCAGGGCAGCAGGTGGGGATGCCAAAGGCGGCGGTTACTGACCCGGCTGTTAATTTAATTATAGCTATGCCAGACGGTGGCTGAAAACAGAAATCGGTAGTTGAAATTGTTTAAATTGCGATTGTGTGGCTCAGAATTTTGGTCAGCAAACGGTAGCCCGACCAATAGCCCGCCCAGCTTGCTGCTACAAGTGTCTGGGCGTGGCCGAATCCAGTCAAAAGTGAATGTGCAACGGCATGGCTGTTGTAGCTCTTTTTGCCAAATAATATTATTGCAATTTCTGCCGTTGATTTGCACAACCCGCTCCCCACCTCTCCCCGCTTGCGGCCCATTCAGCGATTTGACTCAAAGTGAAGAATTGCATTTGCATGCCAAGCAATTGGGCAAACCGAAACCATTATGGCCGTTATTGGGCCAAAACCGTGGCCATTGTGCCATTTGGCCCTCCACTCCAGGGCCCCAACCCCGAACCCAATCTGGCAGCAGCAAAACGCCTTTTAGTCAACAATCTTTAAAATAACAAAATTGGTAAACGATTTCCTGCCCTGCCATTCTGTTGCCTGTTGCTGTTGCTGTTGCTGTTACTGTTGTCTTTATTTCTTTAGAGCTTTTTGTTATGTTTTTATTTTTATGTGGTGGGCGTTCTTTTTGCGCTGCATTTTGCATATTTTTGGTCAAATGGCTTTTATGTTTTGCATCAATTTAATTTATGGTTGAGGCGTTAATTTATGGCCTAATTGATCGAATTTGAATACGTGTTGCAACCGCCAGAGTGTTGAAGTAGATGCTGGTTCAGGGTAACTTTTACTTTAAAATATTCAGATATAGATGTGGAATAGTGCGGACAGCTATCGTAATTTGTATTTGTATTGTTTCTGCCAAGGTAAAGCTGAAACTTGGCGGCAACTTAAATATCTATTCCCTTCTGCATTGGTTCTTTGAGTTTACCTTTTCCCTTTGGATTAACCTTTTCTGTATTAAATCGCTCTCCCATATACTCTAGGATACTTTGTCACACAGCTGCGATAAGGCATCAAGCACTTACCAAATGCGTCTCTCCCGCTCCTTTTGACGTTCGGTGCACATCCGAGGAAGTTTTTGTTAGAAGCATTGTTGCAAGGAAGATAATGCAACGCCGACAATTCAATTCTCAGCGTATTTCGCGCAATTTGTGCCACAAAGTAAGCCAAAGCGAAAGCGGAAAATCGAAATAGCAAAGAGCCCTCACTCACTCACTCACGTACTCACGAAGGGTTAGATTTATGACAGGGAAGGAAATATAGGAGACGCATCTGTTGTGTTGCGTTGTGCAATATGAGCAGAAGCTATCCTCACTTGACCCTCCTCCCTTCCGCGAATACCCCGTGGCCATTCGCATAGCATGGCCATTCCGACCCACATGATGATGTTTGATGTATATTTTGTTTTGTTGCTACAATGTAAATACTCGGGTCTCGTATTTATGTATGTACATGAAGGTACATGAATCCCAAAATGTTTTATTTTGGCGAAGGCTTTCCCCGTTTAAAATTAACATCATCTGATTGACGTGCATAATTAGCATTTTGGAATCCCCATTATATGCCACAGCCATGTGTTAATTGCATTGCCTACTTTGCTGTCAAAGCTTTTGCAGAACATAACATTTAATTGGCCTTGATGTCGATGTCGTTGTCGTTGTTGTTACACCTTCCCCCTCAACAAACATTTTTCGTTGCATAGTCTCGTGCGTGGCTGTGCACACATGCGGTATACTTCATATCTCCATATTTTTCACTTGAAAAAATTTTTATTTTTGTCAGCCAAAATAGAGGTCACGCATAATTAGTTTATCGGCAATATTGTTAGACTGACTGTTGACTGGCGAGGGTACATTGAATTTCCCGACGGGAACTTTAGAGAATTGCTAAAATTTAAAGCGGGAAATACATAGCCACTATTTTCAGCGATCAACACTGTTTTTTTTTCAGCTAAAAGGTGTGCTCCACTTTTAGAGTGTAGACTGCATGTAGAAATCATGTAGAATTGTCGTTTGGAGGTGGCCTTGTGGTAAGTTAGGCTGCAGCGAAATCTCCGTTTCCATTTCGCAGTCTTGCCGGGCCAAGCATTTTTTTGAATTTTAATAAGCAAAGTTGTTTGTATCTGTCTGAAGCATCCCACAGTGAGTGGCAGATGGACTTATGAAATGTCAGAACATTTTGACAGGTCCGCTGCTGCTGCCGCTGCTCGTCGGATCTCGCTCTCTTCTGTCTTTGTGGGGTAGGTTCGTTGCTGCTTATCGGTGTGTGGCCATTGGAGATGCCCCTTTGTGAGGGGGCACTCGGCACTCCCTCACATGTTTATATCGACACATATACTCGTAGACAATATTTGTACCCTGCCCAAATCCTTCTCTACACTGTGTAATGGAATTTTAATATTCGTTTGCTTCAGCTTAAGGTAATGTGAGTTCCAGAAACATTGACTAGACCTAGGACTATTGTATGCTTAATCGGCTATCAAAAGGTACATAAATGGGAAATGGCAGAAGGGTCGGCAGTGCATCTAGATAACGTGGCTGGAAGAGGGATAGAGAATTGAGGTATTTATACACTTGATCAATCCATCAAACGGTCGGACACTCACATCAAATTCACCTCCGGATCGGGCCACACGGGGGCTGGGACCAGAACAGCTACCGGAAGTGGTGGCGGTTGGGGTGCGGCTCCTCCTCCTCCAGCCCCGCCGCCGGCGCCATTGCGTGCTCCCTTTCCGCCTCTCCCTCCTTTCCCGCCCTTGGAACCATCAGGTCCATCTGGACCATCGGCTCCATCGGCGCCGTCCTCGCCGTCAGGCTGTGGCCCAGACGGACTGGGCGCTCCCGGCTGTCCAGTCTCTCCGCTCTGACCGGACGTGACTATTCCTCCTCCACCGCCGCCGCCCCCAGCTCCGCCACCACCCGCTGCGCCGCCCCCACCGCCACTGCCCCCCGTTCCGCCGCTGCCACCTGCTACGCCGCCACCTGCTCCACCGCTCCCTGCTCCACCGCCCCCTGCTCCGCCCGAGGCATCACCAGCGGCCGCATCTTCGGATGCAGCAGACCCAGAGCTGTCCGAGCTCAGGGAGCCTCCATCATCAGCTGAACCGGCATCCGAGCTGGCGCTTCCACTTTGACTCTGGCTGAGCCCTGGCTCTGGTTCTGGTTCTGGCTCTGGCTCTCCCTCCTGTCCGGGCTGGGGCTTCCACAGGCCATCTTCTCCGGGGCCGGGAGATTTGTATGAGCCATCATCCTCTGGGGGTGGGGGTGGTGGGGGTTGCACTAGCAACAGAATTGGCCCAGCCTGAGGGATCAGATATGTGCCGGCAAAGGGCAATACATGAGCTACTCCTTCATGGACGTAATGGATGGCCAAAAGGCCCAGCAGCAGCAACAGCATCTGCAGGAGGGAACACCACATTTAATGAATGTTTCTGCCCCGTCAGGAGAATCAATTTCCAGCTTACCGCTGTCGTTCGCATCTTATCTAGAGTCCAACAGAATATTTAGCAAATCCCTTCGCGTCCGTGCTCGACGGTCTCTATGGCGGGACTGACTCAATTGGCCAGGCCCTAGTGCAGCTTTTATACGATGACAATGGCTGCTCCGTGCTGCGAGCTGCGAGTGCTGATGAATTGCGAGCGGAGACATTGTCCATACATGGAAGCAGCGCCACTTTGCATGGCTGGCAGCTGGCATAAATCAAGTGCTACCAACGCTAATTGCAGCAACAACAATTACGAGAGAGAATGATCTTGTTAATGTGTGTAATGTGCACCAGAAGCCAGCAACCAGCCACCAGCAGCCAGCAACCAGCAACCAGTCCGAGCTCGAAAGACGATCAAAAGACGCAGTTAGAATTACACCTGAACTTGGCCTCACATGCTGTTTGATTGACAGTCATTGACGGATTGAGTCAGTCTGCAGCGCAGGGGGTTGTCCTACCACGAACCTTGGGTGGGAGTACGAAATGGATCAGCGTTGCAAGTCTACAATTCCCGTTAGCTCAATCTATCGCATATATATATATATATACTATAGGACTAGACTTCTCTTCCTCCTGTTGTATTCGTCACAATTCTATTGTCTTCCATTTAATTGGGTATTGCCTTTTGATGTTGTATAGATCCGAACTTGAATAAAAAAATAATAATGCTGCACTTTTGCTGGCTTATCCATCAGATATAAAAATCCATTGAATTCTTATCGACACAACTCTAGTGTGATACTAGTATGAAGCGCATTATGGTGTTCGTATAGACCGAACCTTACTACTACCAACTACCAAAACAGCATCGGGACCAGATTCTTGAAATTTCTCAGTGCTTAATCTGCTAATAAATAATTGAAATGGGTTTTTAAATACATCAGTCGCGGAGCGCTGTTTTCCCGTGGATTAGATAAAATGCCATTCATGGCGATGAGGCGTCAGTCGGCAATCCGAGCTCCAAAGGGAGGCTGACCATTGGCCCGTTGGCCCGTTGGCGGTGCAGACCACGTTGACTCAATAGCTGGACTGGATTGCATGCGACGCGGGAGCCACAGGCGGCAAGAGATGCAATGCTGTCCAACCGGTTTGCCCTGTTAGCGCGTGGCAATGTGTAACACAGTGCTGGCGAAAATTAAATGCCGCAGCAAATGAACTGACAGGGTGACAGAGAAGCACTGGCATCGCCACCGACAGCTCCCTGAGACTCCCTGGATACCTTATAAATGATGTGAAACTATTAAACTCTGTGCAGCTTCAACTAAATCAATTAAGCCAACAGGCAACATCGGAGGGGAGCCACGACAGCAGCGGCAACTTAGCAAAGTAATGGCAACGAGGCCATTACCATCATCGTCTTGTGACGCATTCCGGGGCCCAGCCTGCCCGACACTATCCCTTGGAGCAGCAGGCCCACTTGCCTCCCAATTCCCCCATCCTCGTCATCGTTAACATTTAGCAACACAAGCAACAACATTATTCACAGGAGCCAGAAGGAGGAGTGGACTGGCAGACTGGCAGACTGGCAGTGGAGTGGATGCGTCCCAGAATGGAGTCGTCTGTTTGGCTAGCCGTGCGTCTCCTGGCTGATACAGCGATGATTTCGTATGTGTGTGCGCGCGCCTAAGAAAGTTTCTGCCAATTAGGAGAGACAACTTTGGAATGCGTCAGGCACGGGCACGGGCAGGGGCACGTGGAATTATGGAAACACCACACAGTTCGTTCGCCGAGATTCCTTTTGCTGGCAGTGCAGATATTCGAGCGCCGTGTCCGCCGGAGCCACCGGGCGATACATCGATTAATCAACGCGAAGACGCACCACAGATGCAAACAATGCGCTCAAATATGTTGCCCATAAATGGCTGGTCCGGCTGGTCCCCGCAATGGATGCGACGCGATGGACAGCCATTCGAGCCCCATCCATTCAGGCATCCGTGGCATACATTTCTACACATTGATGCTACCCAAACACCAGGCCTGGGGCCGCATATAAATAGTTTTCTGCTGCGGCTGTGGGGCTCCTCCATTTGTTAGCTGCCTGACAGACAGGCCAAGTCAAGTCGCCGTCCCCAAGCCAGCCTCGCTCCGTTGGCTCTGACGGCCATTTGTACGAGCATGTGAAAAACCCCGGGACGACGTGTGAGTGTGTGTGTGCCAAACACAAAAAGGTTTCCCTCCCCGTGCGTGTCTTGAATGACGCCGTTGTGGGATGATGACCGCACGAGGCGGAGATCGAAAACAGTTTACAGAAATGATTACCACTGGGCGAATGCGTAATGGGCAATGGGGCGTATGTGTGATGTGCGAAGTTCTACGAATGCAGGCTCTGAAGTGTGAAAAGCTGGCAGGGAACGGAACTGAATTAAATGGCACCCACCATACGTATGTATGATATTTAGTACGTGGATTACCAATGAACGGTGGAAACTGGAAGCCCGTTGGCGGTCGATTCAATTAAACAAATGGATTGGATGCTGCCTGTTCATTACATATTTGCTGTACTTGGAAAAAGGTTTTAAAGAAATGTGACTATGATTTATGGAATACCAACGAAATGCTCCCTGAAGTGGGGTTCATCATGGGTATTCGAATGCCTTTGCACCTGTCGCGGCAGCAAGCGGAATCATCAATAATAATACTAACCACAGAACAAGACATCCTGGACACCCTGCACACAGACAGCAAGCAACAAAGCCCGCATTAAATTCACAATAAATCAAAGGATCTGTTATTAAAGTTTCCTTTCTGTGGCAGTGGAGCGGCAGTGTGGGCAGTGTGGGCGTGGCTGTTGGCCATCTAACCGCAAATACATTGACCAACACTCACGGCTCTGATAATAACTCATAAACGTGCCGCAATATAGACAAAACAAAAACCAAGACCAAAAAAATATACACAGTGACCAAGAGGCGGCGGGCAGACAAGGAAAGACAAACAAGTGACTAAAGAGCTTACACACAATGTGGCCAAAATGATTGGCTTTAATAAAAGTTGCAATATTTTTATTATTTTTATTGAGCGCCACAAATTGGCCCATTGTTGAGGCAGCCTGGTCGGCTTTTATGGCCATATCATAAAGGCATTTGTTTTTGTTTTGTAGTTTTTGATTTCATTGCAATTTTGGTCGGCGGCCTCCGCTGTGTTTGTTGCCTCGTTTTCCCCCCGATTTTTTCTTGGTTTTCTTTATTTCGATGGGCCCGACGCGTTTATTGGTTTTCACGCCATGGCTAATGACCAACACATTTACGAGCACAGTTGGAGCCGCCGCGGGCCACCAGCTAACCAGATACAGAAACAGAAACCGATACAGCAAACACTCGATACTCGTAATAGTAAAACTGGAGTCGAGTCTGACTTTTCTTTAAGAGTCCGCCATATCCGAAGCGAGGAAATTTAAGCGACGTCAAGTGTTAAGCCTGATATTTCGATTGAAATCCCTCGAATATGCCATAAATACTTGTACTGCAGGCCAAGATTAAGGGACTTATGGCCTCCTGCCTGCCGACTGCCGCCAGTTGGTCTGGGCCCAATTTTCTCCAGTCCTGATCCCCTTATCAGGCAGAAACTTCGCTTCTTTGGCGTGCAATTTACGCACAGACCATTGACGCCAAGGGAGCAGTCAGGGTGCCAAGGATGGGGATGGGGATGGAGATGGGGATTCGATGGTAGGTGTGGGAAGTTTTCATAAATTGAGCTGAAAAGCGGGGATGCCCCACAGGCACGACTGGACAACATTTCTGGGAATGGAAGCTTATGCGACTCTTTCTTAGCCTTCTCCGCTTTTGCACCATTTGTCGCGGAATTGTCCGGGGCTTCTGCTGCTGCTGCTGCTGGTACTTGTTCCAGCTTCATCTTGTCATGTTATGTAATTGGTGTTAACAGCCACAGCATCCGCAATCTCAGCAGCACTCGGAATCTGAATCGCAGTCACAATCGCAGTCATAGTTTCAGCCACGGTCGCCCGCCACAAAAGTCATTTATGTAAACGGCTGCTGTCAGTGACAGGCAGGCGAAAAACTAGAAGTACAGACGAAGACGAGCTGGTGCTGCTTCTTGTCTTGGCGCAGTCCTTGATAATTGAATGTATTGTCCTCAGAGTTTTCTGTGTGTTTTTGTGCTATTCATAGCGAAGAAGACGCTCTGGCTCGTCGCCCATTTGCATAAATGTCTGCCGCGACAGGAGGCAGACAACGAAAGAGACATACCCAGACCCAGACCCAGACCGTGACCGGCACCCACCCAGAGCCAGTAGACTATTTTATCTATTTGCTCTATTCATAGGGTTTCGCCATTTATGAGCATTGCAGATTATTATTGCGGCTCCTCTCCCATTAGGGTCCCATCTGTCCCGCTCTTCGCTGGTGACGCAAATGCCAAAAGAAGCTCGATTTCGTCATCGAATGGGACTGAGACTGGGACAGGAACAGAAACAGGACGAGAACTACAACCAACCTGTTGATATGGCGACAACTTGAGTTTCCCAACTGCTTCAGCAATAAGTTCGATGAGTCATCGGGAAATAAGTCGGAGCAGCCATACCAAACGAGTATAAGTATGCATGTAACTGCCAGGGGAATATTTTTTTTATATTGAGAATGTTCTGCGCATCAGCAAAGGACCTTTTTGTCCTTATTAATATTTCATTGGTGGCCAAATTGTGCCATGGCACAAATGTCTAGAAAGTGAACTCCGTCCAGTGACAGTTGGTACAATTGGTATGGTTTTTCTCGATCATTCTCTTTTGATTTGAAAGCTTCACTAGTCACTGATCGGCTTAGTGTTCATTCCAATCAGTCAATAATTTCTCCATAATCAGACATTTATTTATATGTATGTATGTATGTATGTCTGCATATGTATTAATAGCATTCGGCTGCCGTTTGATTACCTTTGAGGCGATGCTCGTAACAAAGTCAACTAAAGCCCATAAGTGACACATATACGTGTATATGTGAGACCAGGGAACGGTGATGAGGATGACGAAGCCAACTCAAGATCCACTTTTGGTTTCCTGGTTATTTATTGCCGCATTTGACTCGCTCATTCACACAAAATGGCTCAATTTCGTCTCGGTTTCATTTCGGGCCTAT